ACTTTAAAGCACATGGTTCTTAAGCTGTGACGCTCCACGCAGTGTGATCTGTGTACCTCTGCATCATGCTGGAGCTGGGTTTATCTGCAGGGCCAACTCCGTATAACATAAACATGCCTGCTGACTCTGGTGATTGCAGCTCTCTTTATCTCCCCCATTCTTTGTCCACATCCTCTCCCTCAGTGCACAAGTTTGTGGTGACTCTGCTTGACTCAAAGAGAGCCGAGATGTGTTTTTCTGCCTGCGGGGTCCTGACCAACCTCGCTCTGGACCCTCCCAACAGGGTTTGTCTCACGCTGGAGGGGGCTTCTGCAAAGTAAGGACAAAAGCACTTAGAGATAAATAGCCTCTCTTTGTTTCTCCTGCAAACGCTCTGGGGGCCGAATGTGGTGAGAAGGCACCTACCAACCTACATCAAAGGAGCTTTAACATAAGTTTATTACTGACAGCTTTTAATTTTTTTAAATCGTCCTTTTGCTGGCATAATTTGCTGCATATCGCCATGGTTCTCTTAATGTTCTGAGCTGATAAGTAGCATTTGGCAGTTTAGCTGAGAGGACTGCAGAAAAGCATAAAGTTTAGCTTAATGGCAAAACAGAGCAGGCCTGGGGTTTATTTGTTTAAAGGATAGCTCAGCTCTTGAGGAAATGGGATTTCTAGCTGAGACTGAGATAAGAAAATAAAACCAATTTAAAGTTTATGTAATAAATCTGTAGCCGGAGTCAACGGGATAACTTCCTGACTTTCTTGGTGAGGAATTTATAAAATAAAGTCGTCGTCCCAAGTGTTGTCTGTATAATAACTTGTATATGTTTAACTGATGAGAGTTGGAGCTGACAGAAAGTCTGTGCAGTTCTCTTTTGGCTGTAGTTTTCTGTTCTGGCCTGATAAACTAAACACTGTTGGGACATTTAATTTTATTTCCACCTCCCACACTCTGTTCCTGTCCAGATGAATGCCCAGTGAAGTGCACCTAATGTTCACAAAACCTGATGGTCATGTGCGTTCTCCTTCCTCGAGTCACATGAGGATTGTGTGCGTGTGTGTGTGTGTGTGTAGGTTAGTGGACTGCCTGAGAGATTTCGGACCAGCTGACTGGCAGTTGGCAGGCCAGGCCTGTCAGGCCTTGTGGAACCTGATTGGTCACGGCTCCGACACGCTGTTGCACGCAGAGGAGAGAGAGAGGCTGCTGGAGATCCTCACAGTGTACTCAGGTTTGTTTTATTGCTGCTTCTTACATAACCAGTGGAGGGACGCAACCTGGAAAAGAACAAACTCCTCCTAAGATCGGTCACCCAACGAGGGGATGACACATTTATTCCATCCCATAAATACATCTCTGTCATACAGTGACTTGCAAAAGTAATAATGCCATTTGAACTTAGTTTAAATAGGACTTTATGTGATGGATCTGCAGAAAATATTGAATTCATGTAAGGATTTTCCATATTTCTTTAAAAAGAAAAACAAAAACAGCTGTAAAAATTTCAGGGAATTTCTCTACCAGCTCTTAAAATCTACACTGCAAAAACACAAAGCTTTCCCAAATATTTTTGGTCTAGTTGTGTGATTATTTTCGATGCTTCTCAGGCACAATATGTTCAAAATACACCAAAGATTTCTCACTCCTCCCTCAGATAAAGAGGAGGCTCTGAAGTGGACGCAGAATGAAGAAGAGCAGGATTTCTACAGAGCATGCTGGGAGTCAGAGTTTTTACCTGTTGCTCAAAAGTTGATAAAGGTATTACATTCAGTAGAAGTGACAGCCTGACAAACAGATTTATGGTTTCAGAGAAACGTCTGTTCCTTGAATATGCTAAGTATGGAGTGCTCCAGGAAAAAAAGTATCAAAAAGTCCCAACAAAGCTCGTCACCCAGCCTCTGTTTTGTTTGACTGAAGCTGCTGTTCTTCACAGAGGATGAGGTCACAAACATTTTACAGTCACTTTAAAGCTCTCAGGTTGGGAACATGAAATATGTGGCAGTTAATCATTAATGTGAGCATGTAAAACATAAAATGTTAAAGGAATCTTCAAGAAAAAATTATATATATATATATATATAAATATATATATATATATATATATATTGTTTTTACCTACATTTTGTGACCTCTGTGAAAATGTTTTAATTGATACTTAAGTCGCTTTGGTTGATAGACATGACATCATAATCCAGGTTTTATTTTTCTGTTATTTTGGACTTTGGATGAACATTTCAAACTTTTTTTTCCACAGTGGATTTTTGTTATTCTATGCTGTGATACTCAACTGATAATGTAATCTTAAGCACAGTTTACTACAAAAGAATAAAAATGTTATTGTCTGGACACTGTGAAGAATTTGTGTATGAAGAAGTTGAAGTCAAACATGTTTATTTGCTTCTTACAGCATTTATTGTTACACAGATAAGGGACAAGGCAGTGCTTACAGGTTACACTGAATAGCCTAAGTACAGCGTTTCCAAATTACATAATTATGACTCGAAGAAAAAAAAAAAAAAAAACAGGACTTAAAGCCATGGCAGCTTCCCCCAACTTTTTGGACATTGGTGACCTGTAACAAGCACAAGACAGGTCGATGTTTTGAAATAAAAACACGTTCGTTTCGAAACATTGTTCTCCGATATGAAGGTCGGTCTGTTGGTTGATATCGACGTTGTTGCTATTCCGTACATAATTTGGGATAACAGTGAAATCTTTGGCCAGCAGAGGTGAGTTCCTGCTGGCGATTCTGCATTGAGAGACATGCCTGTGTGGCTCTGATGGGGAAATTCACAGATTACCAGTCTCGGGTGGGGAGTTAGCATGATGGTCAGGAGCAAAAAGAGACTTTGACCACCACAGGGGGAAAAAAAGGGACCATTAACTGATCCCCCAGTGAGTCATGCAGCTTTGAAGCAGGCACAGTAAAATAAAACTCACATGAAAGTCCCTGAACTGTACTGATGATAATAAACTGAACTATTCCCCTGAGCTCAGCTTACTAGTGATGATCTCAGCTTTTTGTAGTCAGAGCTTTTAGCTTTAAAAGGCCCCACTTTGTGTCATTTTTTTCCATGAGTTATCAATGTCTCCAGTTTTTTTGTTTTTTTTGTTCAACCAAAACTATGTAACTCTACCTAACTATGATGCGAGCCGATAGTTATGGTGATTGTGCTTGATTCCCAAATTGTATTGGTGTATGTCTCTTATGTAGTAGTAAAAGTATATGTTTTTTAAGGACAAAACTACAAACAGTACACAATAACTCAGTATTATAGTTTATTTTTTTAAAACTTTTTCCATATTTTCATATAAAAAAGTGTCAGTAACTGACATCAGTCAGGAGTTTGAAAGAAAAAGAAAACTTCCACTTCCTCTCAAACCACTTTCAAATGTACCATTCCTTTATCATTGCAGCTCTGCTCCTCCTCACATCATCGTCCGCCTGATTTTCTCAGTCCACCCTCAGAAGAATGCAGTACTTTACTGATTTTTAGTAAACAAAAGAAATAAGCAGAGACCTTAAACCTCTGATTAAAATAAAATAAAAATAAAAAATAAAAAAAAGCTGCTTTTGCACTGGTTAGACTTTTCCTCGCAGGGAAATAAGCACAACTACAACCTTATTGCCTTCGAAAGCTATCGACCGCAGGCAGCCCTGTGTGAGCTCTGGATCCCCCGAGCAGCAGCCCAAAGAGAGTCTCTGCTCACCAAAGAGCACTTTTTACATGTTTAAAAAAAAACAACAGAAGAGGTATTTTACTGGTAAAATTCACAATCAAAAGCTTTGAAAGAGTTAGGTCAACCAGTCAGGCGGGATAAGCGGAAGACGAGATATGACGGAAGCAAACCCCCTCCTGGAGAATCTGGTTTCCAAACTTTCTATTCGATTTACATTTCTATGATTTTTTTTTTCCAATACAAGAAAAAAACAAAAGACATCATCAATGAAAAGAACAGTTTTCTCACAATAACAGAGCTACAGCAGAAGCAAGAAGGCTTTACTTCAAAGTGCCTCGCTTTTTTTTTTTCTGAAACAAATGAAATTCCAAGACATACATTTTTTTTTCTTGCCTCCACTTATTTTTGTGAAGCACACACACACTCTCACACACCTCAGTCTTCAGGATAAACAGAACTCATCCACACCTGTACAGTCAAACTCAAAAAAGGGCTCAGACAGTGTTCTTTTGAGTTTTTCACCCCACATGGAGGGGTTTTCACACTCCTCGGATTAGCTTACTTTGACGTTTGAGATTTGGGATGTGGTTAAGGGAAAAAGAGGGCGTGGGGGGGGGGGTAATGCAATGGATGTTTAATGGACAGGGGCTTTTATAAAGGGATTCAGGGAATTGGGTGACGGGTGAGGGGTGATTTTGGGCATCAATATGATCCCTCTAAAATACAACTGGGAGCAGCAGCATCAGCACGTACGCACACTGTGCTGGATATAGTTCAGGCACACGTAGAAAACACTGAAACAAAAACAACAACAACACTAGAGTTAAAACCATCCCCTTAAAACCATCCCCATCTCATACAAAAGTGAAATAAAAAGACGTTTAAGAAACTAAACAAACAACAGTGACGACAGAATCAAAAGTGCAGGCTGGGTCTGGCTGCACAGCTTTCTTTCTGGGAAATTTCACCAGGATTCTCAATCCTAACATGAAGTGAGACAGGCAATGCTGGAATACTGAAATGTAGTCCTGGATGTCTCCAGTGTCAACACCAGCGCAACCTCCTGCCCCCAGCAGGGCTGGAGTTTGCTCAAGGCTGTCCTCTGTTGGTCGGTTTTGGCACTGCAGGCAGCATCTGACTATGTTTGTGGATCCACTTGTAGTTTGAGATGACTTTTCTCCAGTAGAAAATCTTCTTCCCTTGATTTCCATTTGTTCCGATCTTCTCTGCAACGCCCAACCAACAAGCATTGTCAAAACCGAGAGCTCTTTTCGCTTAAATCCCCAAACCCCCCCCCACAAAAAAAACTCCCATGTATGTTTTTTTTTTTTTTTTCTTTTTCTTGAAGTGTTCCAGAAAGAGCAAAGACGACAGTAAAAACGCCAAAAGCACTTCATGTCATGTAGCGGGTGATCGCTCTCAGAGCGTATAACAGTTCTGCTTGCATCCGTGCTTCCATAAGAAGCAGATTAACGGGGACCTGGAGGAGGGAAAAAAAAAAAAAAAAAAAAGTGACATTAACACACTGCAGCAGCGCTAACCACACATAAAGAGCTCAAAACAGGAAATTCAGAGCTGTACCTTCTCGGAGTGCTGAAACTGCCTCCAGAAACTCTCATACATTCTTTTGGTGGTCTTCTCAGGGCTGCACACCATGGTCTTGATGTAGATCTTAAAGCTGCGGTCCAGAAGCTGATTTATCTCCCCATAATCATAGTCGTCATACCTGAAGACGACAGTGGAAAGCCGTCAGCAGCGAGAACAGGGAGCGAGGCAGAGCAGATTTTATTGCCAACATAAAATCAGATCCTATCTGGTGACGGACCTGATGCCAAACATGCAGTGGATGTAGTTCCAAATGGCTCTGCGCAGCATGCTCGTGTCCACATCCTTATGTGTGGCCATGGTGTTGTATGTGAGGTTGTAGGCCATCTGAAACTTCTCGTCCAGCATCTGGCCCACATCAGGATACAGTCTGTTGACCAGAGAGAAGCCATGGTCCTCCCAGCTGTAGTCCTGAGAGAAACAGGCGCAACGTCTCAATAACGTGCATCCGGACCGCGTCCTAAAGCCGCTTCACAAGACCGCGTCCGACATTTACCTGCGCTCTGAACGTGGGCACCTGCTCCCCCCTCCTGGAGAAGTCCTGGTAGCCGTAGCTGGTGTCCTCAAAGTGACGGGAGATGTCTCTGGAGGGGACACACTCCTCGTCCTCCGACGTGACCACCAGCATGCTTTCCGTCTTCTCCCTTTCAAAGCGAGTGGCCATCTCCTCCTGGCTGGCCTCTTCGTCGTCACGGCACTCCTGCAGCTGCTTCATCCTCTCCATCAGCTCTTCCACCTCACCGCACATCTCCTGCGAGGACGAGAGCAGGTAAAGAACAGTCAGAGACAATAAAGCGCCTGCTCGGTTTAGCAGATTTTCCTCTTTGCAGTCGACCCACTCACCTGATTGCCCAGCAAATCGTCGTGGTGATTGGCGTGGCCGTTGCCGTTGGCTATGTCGCACACACAGTACTGGCTAACGGAGGGCGGTCTGAACGTGTGTCCGCCATCGCAGTTGATCTCTGGCATGATGCCGCAGCCGAAGGTGAAGGAGGAGAGGGAGTGGTAGTGGGTGAGCAGGACTACGGCGTGGATGAGCTCTGCCAGGGACCAGCTGTGCTCCTCGGTCTTCAGGAGGCGCTGAAAGCAACAAGCGGGACAGGTTGCCGAACGGAACCACAACTCAAGGTCCGGTTCTCGCAGGGGCAGCACGAGATCTCCCTCTACTCACCTCGATGTGCTCCTTGGTGAGAAGCCACGGACGGTGGGCTAGGATTTTGTTGATCTCCCCGAGCTGCTGCAGCTTCTGCGGCGCTTCGTTCAGGCCATTCAACCACTTGGTGTTCCCCCCGACCTGAAGGAAGTCATTCACGTGCAGGTTGACCAGGTAGGAGCACTGGTGGCGAGCAGCCGCCTGTACCGTCGGGTAATGAGATCATCAGACTGACAGGAAAAACAGCTGATTCAGTCGTTTACGTGGGGAGGGATGGGAGGAGAAGGACGTACCATAATGCAGATGTAGTGCCTATAGTGCAAAGGCAGGGGTCCGTCCATCTGCAGCAGATAGTGCTGCGTCCGGAGAAAGCTCCCCAGGTACTGTGGGTGGAAGCTCATCACGAGGGAAATGTTGTCCAGCCGATGGAGGGCTGCAAATGCATCCTCAAATATCGCCTGCGTACTGGCGTCCACTTTACTGACTTGAAGAATCTAAAAAAAAAATAATAATAAAAATGGCTAATTAGTTGTTTTGTTGCTCACAGCAGATCTTACAGTCTTACATGAGATTAGAGATTGTCTCCTACCTCTTTTTCAGGGATAAATCTGCTTGGTCCGCTTCCTAGGGGTCTTGGGATCCTTATGCCTAAATCCTATAAGACAAGAAAAAGGGAAGAAATATGATCAATTAAATGTGAGAGGAAGGCAGAGGAAAGGAGAAGTGAATGCTGCAGTTAAATGGTGCTAGAACCTCCTCTCTCTTTTTCTGCTGCAACACCGAAAGAAAATCAGATTTGAGTCTCATTTCCGCATGATATGTTTAGTTTTTTAAGTAAAAAACAAAAAAACAACCTGAATGATAAGCAATATACCCTCCCATTCACAGAGAAATCTTTACATTGTCTTGTTTTGTCCAGTAACTTTCCGCTGCTTGTCCAGACATGTCCCCTTAGCACACGCTGGGAAGTCCGGCAGAAAAGCATCATTCACAGGTGACACCGTGTTTAAAATACTTTTAAATGTGTCCTATATATGCCTTTTTCTTAAGATTTAAATTCAACACATGAACATGTATGATTTCCTGCATAGTGATTACAAGTCTTCACTCTCGTAAACAGGTCTGGACAAAAGACTGCACTGCAGCCAGTCCGCTGGAAGGACAAATGTCGCTTAAAACAATTCACAGAAATGTGACACCGTTTTTATTCAAGCACAGCAAGACCAAACACTGCAGTAACGCAAGACATTTTTAATTTTTTGCGTCATTTCTATTACCTTTTTGGCGAGCCGTTCACAATGGGTGCATATCTTAAACAAGTCTGTCACTGCGATTGAATTATTCTCCACGTTTTCTGACGGTGCGATGGCGTGCCTCATTTCGTTTCCTCCGTTTTTCCTCTGCTTCTTTCCGCGGAGCAGAGAATTAAAAAAAAAAAATAAACAGTGTAAATTTAAATGGCTCTGTTTCCTCCTGTCTTTGTTCCTTGGGGCACTGGTGGGGGAAAGTGGCTAGGCAAGCGAGCACTCAGCTGTTGCGGCCCCCTCAGCAGAATACCGTCCTTTACGGCTCATACATTCGGTAAATAAGTCGAGGCTCGCGTGAGTGACACCACCGGCAGCCAATCAGAACGCGAAAACAGATTCCAGACAGCCAATAGCGGTGCTGGGCCCTGATGAGGCGTGGCTAAGCGTGAGGAACGATTGCGTCCTAAACGTGAGCAGAAGGGGGGTGTGACAGTCCCCCTCTAAGAAAACATCATCACTTCTCTCTGCTGCTTCTTTTGTTCTCTGTTCCTATTGATTATGATTGAATTTAGTGTTTTTCTTGCTCTCAGTGTGCTAAACTAAAGCCTGCAATCGGCTGCAGTCGATTCCTGAACGATCTTTCCACGCAAATCAGTTCAATCAATATTGATATAAAAGCATGATTATAGCTCTGCGTTTCTTAAAATAGACCTGAGTAATGCTGTAAGGTCAGTTTTAAGCAAAGATAGCATGTTTTCTGTGTGCATCATTGCAATGTGCATGAAAACAACAACCAGCTCTTGCAAGCAGCAGCAAGCCCCCCTGTCGGCTTGTTGCTGTACTGAAGGAGCAGGGAGAGGAGGGGGTCTAAGTAAGCTGAGTCCCCAGCACTGTTTGGTGAGCAGCAAAAATAATAATAATATATATATAAATATATATTTAAAAAATAGTCATAGAGGTCCTCTGAAAGGACCGGCATCGCCACACCAAAATGGATGGCTGCATGAGCTGCTGTAACAACAACAGCCCTTCAGTTTGTGGTTTTGCACCACAGCCTATCATATCACAGATAAAAACCATTCCTCCGCCAATCAGACCTCACTGAAGGAGGCCTTTTAAAGCCAAGAGGAAGCCGAGATAAGAAACGGACAGCTCAATAGCTTTGTTTATGCCAAGCCTGACAATAACGTGTTCAGTGGAACAGCTTTTAACTAGTTTAAATAAAGCACAAGTTACTAAGCAAATGATTCCTCCCCCTATGACATCAGGATATCACTTTAAAAGGCAAATTTTATTGGTACATTACAGTTTCCACCTGACATTGACCTTGTTTTGATATTTCTAACATGATTACTGTAAAATAAAATAAAAAAACACTTCCATAAATTGTAAAGAGCCAGTTTCTTTGGCATACAATGACCAAGATGAGAAGCTTTCATCAACTCAAAGAAAATTTTATTTTAGGGCATAGTTTGATGTACCACAAAGTATTATTTAATGTTTTTTGTTTGTTTGTTTTTTTTAAACAAACTTTAGTATCAGGCAAAAACTGTTTTCAAATCACTAATTGAGGTGATCTGAAAGGATGATTGCAATCAAACCTGGGCCAAAGAGAAAACAAATCGCCCCTTCTTGTAAAATCAAACAGTGTTTAGCCTTTTTTTTTTTTTTGACAGTTTAGTTAATTTTCCCCTTGAACCGATTACTGCCTGACCTCTCATAACAAGAAATCCCTCAAGCTGAACCTGTCGGACAACACGAAGTAGGCCAATAGATCTGAAAAAGTAACATATGTGGTAGAGAATCTCCAACCATCACTTCACACACAGATGATGCACAGCCTTATTTCTGAGATGCTGCAGCATGCGATTAGCCGGGACATTGGAAACTCTCCCCAGAAGAGTGGTTCAACATTTCTCCTCGAGATTCATTGTTATTGCAAAAGCTTTTTGGAGTTGTTGCCACCAAGGATGGCACGACCAGTTACAAGATTTAGGAGGAAATTTTTCTTTTCAGATGGTCCAGGATTTTTGGGAGAGCTTTATTCACTTAGTAAGTGACATCGTTTTTTTTTTTTTAAATCTATCTCTTATATTATAGCATCATAAAGGATGCTAAACCTTTATGAGCCTTTATTTAGATGTGACAAAAAATGCAAACACAGCAGAAATCGGTAAAGAAACAAATACTTTTTCAAAGCAATGTGCAGCCAAAAGCCTTAATAAGGGTTTAAATGGCTCATTTAATGCAAGGTACCACAGCCAAGACAACATCTATATTCAACATTCTGGACAGGCCACAAATAAATTGCAGCACACAGTGAAGTGCTTTTGTTTTCCAAATGCCAGCAGGCACACCAGAAAAGCGTCGTATTTTGGTGGCTGTGGGCACACGCAAGCCCATAAATATCTGCATGTCATGGTTATTAGGGAGGCTTTAAAATAACATGTTTTTGCAGCTAATTGGGGAAGGGAGGAAGAGAGGCCGCATACCACTGAAACATTCATCCATTAACATTAGTATTTGTAGGACTCTGAAAGGTGAAAAACAGATAAACAAGTTAAATTTGGACATAACGAGCTAAAGAGGAAGTTAAAAAGAAGGCAGGCAAGTCAACAACTGTAAGCCTGCCTAGCCAGTTTCTCAACCACTTGCTAGCCCCCAAGCACTGATAGCTGTTTAGCACCATATTCAGCAGGTTCATTGTGTGTGTGGAGCCAGCCCCTGCCAGCTCCTCTCATGATGCCACAGGGTGGGGTGCTGGCCAGTGGTAAACATGCTCCCACAACTGGAGTCAGCACTCCCAGGCTTGCTGGGAGCCCCATGGCTCAGCAAAGCTGCACAAGAGGCTGGTCAGCATTAGGGCTGACGACACACCAAACCTTTTCACATAAAAGCGCTTAGGCTCAGGGGGTCCGGCCTCGCAGGCGCGGCCAAACGCTATTGTCAGCGTGGACGCACTGACTAGGCAGTTAGCGTTTGCACATCCGATGTACTCCTATATGTGGGTCAGTGGTTTAGTAAATACTGTACAACATAATTTTGAGTTTTTGTGCATCATTTTGCATAAAAAATGAGACTATTCGTGCAATAAACTTGGTTTATTTCCAGTATTGATGCCCCTAAACAGCCACAAACTTCAATATTTTTTTGCCTGGGATTATGTGTGATACACCAAGACAAAGTAGTGCTGAATGGAGCTAAATACAGGACGATCAAGGAATAAAGCTGTCCAGAATGATGTTCACAGACTCCCTCCATTCAATATGTCTAAGCTTAAGTTAGTTTGCAATGAAGAATGGGCAAACATTTCACTCTCTAGATGTACATGGCGTTGGCCTTTGTGAAAAAACATGATACAACTCAAGGGTTACACATACTTTTACAGGGTTTTGTAAATTTTGCTATTTTAAATTAGAGAAAAGTGCATTAATTTTCCATTTTTAAGGGGCTCTTTGCTACATTAACAGCATGTGGATGTAACGCTAGCTTCGGATGAACCGGTTTGGAAAGATCTCACGTAAAAAATAAAATAAAGTAAAATAAAAATCAAGAAAGTACGACTCTCTAGACACAAAAGTGATTTTAAACAAAATGACATTTTAAGGAGTGAGGTCTGCACACCCACCTCCAGATTCCTCAGGTGTCTATAGATAAGATTATTTCCTGCATTTCATTTTCCAGCATTGACATGATTAAAGAAAACATGCCTTTGCTGCTGTCACAGCCTGCTACTCTACACACGTATTCTCGTTACCTTTTGAAGATTGCTCAGAACACAATGTGACATATAAAACCACACTGCGGATGTCTCAGGGGAATCTGAAGACATACATCGTTAGGCGTCTCACTCATTGTGTTTGATGTCACCTGCAGGGAGCCTGAACTGTCAATCAGCTATTCTTAGAAGAGGAACTGCAGCAAAGCAAATGAGAAAAATATCAAATCACTGGGTGAAATTAACCAGGACAAGATATTTTGAAAAGTTTCTCGCTGTTGCTGGGAATACACCTGGAGTCCTTTATAGGCAGAAATGGCTGACGACGTGCCGGTTGCGGTCGGACTCTCAGAAACAACAGGAATCATCTCAGATTTGTTTGAGATACTCATCAGCTAGAGGAAGGGCATGAACAATGGATACGTTTCCAGTTGATTTAATGTCAATGAAAATACACCCCAACTGTTGGAAAAGCAGGGGGAAAAAAAATTCAGTTATTTCTTTCACATTATAAACAAGATGAAAAGCTGTTTCCCCCCCAAAAATATTCAAATTCACTTTTGGTCTACTTTTTATAATCCTAAAAAGTTGAGAAAATACCTTCAGACAATTTTAAGAACCATAAAAGAGATACACGTTAGTTAGGCGTAATTCATAGTTCATCTGCAAGATTACTTTAAGGTATTTAAA